AATTAAGTCTACAATATAAAAAGTTTCATTTTGAACACAGTTAATGGAAGGCAACTTTTAAATAGAAAATTTCTGGTTAAAGTTGACTCAAACTCAGGAAAGAACTGACCTGTAGCCATGTCAACAAGAAGTCACCCGAAGGTTCATAATCCCTTGGAAAAAATTTGTAAGTCCATTAAATTTGCCACTCAAATTTATTTTAGATAAAATACCAGTAAAATTTGCAATTCCTCTGACTCATTTTACCCTAATTACAATTATCATGATTACCAGTAAAAGAACAAATAGTGAATAACCACAATATTGGGCTTTTCTCCCTAAATGAAGGAATATTAATATAAAGACTGTAGCACACTATAAAGAGCCAAAAGAATAAAAAATGCATATAATTACCAGCCAAAATTGTTAGAATGAACCATGTCAAACATTTTTTAGGTGAGAATCAATCAAACAATATACCTAGGATAAACTCCATTCACTCATTTAGTAAGTATTTACGGCCGGGCGCAGTGGCTCACGCCTGTAATCCCAGCACTTTGGGAGCCCAAGGCGGGTGGATCACAAGGTCAGGAGATCGAGACCATTCTGGGAACACAGTGAAACCCTGTCTCTAATAAAAATACAAAAAAATTAGCTGGGCATGGTGGCAGACGCCTGTAGTCCCAGCTACTCGGGAGGCTGAGGCAGGAGAATGGTGTGAACCCGGGAGGCAGAGCTTGCAGTGAGCCAAGATCGTGCCACTGCACTCCAGCCTGAGAGACAGAGTGAGACTCTGTCTCAAAAAAAAAAAAAGCATTTACTAGGTAGCTACATCCAGTATGTTAGGCCTTTTCCTAGGCAGTGAGGATATGGTAGTGAATAATAAAAATCCTATTGAAGAGAATGAGGTAAACACACAACAACAATAGATAAGGCAAAATATACAATATGTTAGAGGAGAAAAACTAAAGCAGGAAAATGAAATGTTTATGTGTTTGAGGGGAAGAGTGGTGGGAAAGTTGGGATGGCCAGAAAAGTCCCTGCTGAGAAAGGATATTTTAATTAAAGAACTGAAGGAATGGAAAGAGTAAGCTAGGAGGATATCTGGGGGAAAAGCATTCCAGACACAAGGAACTGCCAAGTACAGAGGTGTGCCTGCAGTCTTCAAGCAATAGGGATAGATAAGGAATAGCAAGAAGTTCGGTGTGGCTGAAGCAGAGCAAAGGAGATAAGAAATAGAAGTTTAAGCAGGAGAGATAATATGGCAGATGGTGTACTGTCTTTTAGTTATTAGGAGGAACTTTGACACATACTCAGAGTGAAATGGGAGGCAATCAGAAGGGCTGGGGTAGAGCAATGACACATTTTGACTTATGTTTAAAATATATACACTGAGTTAAGAATTGATTTAAAGGGTTTTTTTTTTTAAACCAGGACTATCAATTACCCATCTATGACACTCATCTAGACTACGGATGATGGTGGCTCAGATGTACAATATATGACTGGCTTCTGGATACATTCTTCAGGTACACCTGATAAGACTTACTGATAGATTAGATGTGAGGCATCAGAGAGACAGAAAGATGAGTCAAGAACGACATGGAAGTTTTTGGCAGAGCAAATGGAAGAGCTGCCATTTACCAAAGTAGGAAAGACTACATGAGGTGTAGATTTTAGGAAGGACATGAGTAGCCCAATTTTGGGCTGACAAGTTTGTGCTACCCAAAGAGAGATGTCAAGTAGGCAGGTTGATATAGAGATCTGGAATTAAGGAGAGAGAACTGAGTTGGAGACATACATTTGGAAATCACTAGCATATACACAGTAGAAAAAGTCACAAGGGGCTGGGGGCAGTGGCTCACACCTGTAATCTCAGCACTTTGGGAGGCCGAGGTGGGTGGATCACCTGAGATCAGGAGTTTGAGACCAGCCTGGCCAACATGGGGAAACCCTGTCCCTACTAAAAATATAAAAATTAGCCAGGCACAGTGGCACGCACCTGTAATTCCAGCTACTTAGGCGACTGAAGCAGGAGAATCACTTGAACCCAGGAGGTGGAGGTTGCAGTGAGCTGAGATCGTGCAACCTAACTCCAGTCTGGGCAACAAAGTGAGACTGTCAAGGAGGGGAGGAGAGGAGAAGAGAGGAGGGGAGGGGAGGGTTAAGATTTAGGACTGAGACCTGGGAGACAACAATGTGCAAAAGGTGAAAGATGAGGAGGAGCAAGCAAAACAGACCATAATGAATGGAGTAGAAAGAAAAGGATGAAAAGCCTGAGGGAGGGAGGTCCTGAAAGCCAAGCGAAGACACTGTTATGGAGAAGAGGTCCTCCATAGGGTCAAATATTGCTGACAAATTAAATAAAATGAGGTGTAAGAAAAAAATGCCTAGATTTGTTACAGAAAAAATTAGTGATAACCTTGAGAAAAACAATTCTGGAGGAGTGCTGAAGTTGAAGACTACTGGCATGAGATCAACACTGAATGGAAAGAAAATTTGAGTTCGTGAGTGTAGACAGTTCTTTTAAGGACATCACACTTAGGAGTCATGACTCTGAATAATGTAATTTTCTTCCACAGTCATGAATAGTGATAGATAAGAAATAGTAGTTTTCAAATTTTATATAAATAGTTCAGTTTTAAATTTTATATAACAATTACACATTTTAAAGGTTATAAAAATTATACAATATGGCATTTTAAAATGCCAGACCAAGATATTACATTCTTAAAATTATAGAACTAAAAGACCCCTTGAACATTTCTAGATTACATAAGCTCATTATCATTTTGTTCATGCTTATAAATAAAAACTAATACTAAGAGTTTTAAGGGGAGTATTTCTTGCTTGATAAAAACCAGCCAATTCTAGAAGAGATGATACTCATCAAGTATACAAAGTAATTGATCACAGTAAAATAGTGAGTTCTATTAACAGAAATAAAATAGGAAAAATGCAGAAAATAATCTTATTTTATAAATTAAATTTTAAAAATTATATGAAGTATAATTATATGAATTATATGAATATAAAAATTATATGAAGTCACCATTGAAAAATATAGTGAGGTGAATACCGAAATATATTCTTTTTTCAAAGGAAGAATAATGTCATGCATGCAGGGCACTTTTACAAATAAAAGTCACTGCATTAGCAGCACCTTCCTTTTAGCACAAGAGTCAGCAAATTAGCACTTGTGGGCCAAATCCAGCCCACTGCCTGTTTTTGTAAGTAAAGTACCTTGGAACACAGTCATGCTTATTCACTTTCTAGTCCATAGAGTCAAATTAGCTGGGTGTGATGTTGCACACCTGTGGTCCCAGCTAGTACAGAGGCTGAGGTGGGAGGATCACTAGAGCCCAAAAAGTCAAGGGTACAGTGAGCCATGATCATGCAACCGTACTCCAGCCTGGGCAACAGAGCGAGACCCTGTCTTAAAAAAATAAATATATATAGTCCACAACACATAAAACATTTACTAACTGGCTCTTTGCAGAAAAAGCTGGCCAACTCCTGGTTTAGTAGATCAAACATCCTTTGATGCATTTTAACAAGTTTTACCCAATATACTGAAATGTGTATATGAAATATAGATCCCCATGTGCAATCCCTTAGCAATATTCAGATTGAGTTTCCAATATTTCAGCATTCAGGCATTGACAACAAAAATTTAATAACTAGCAATCTTGTTGCTAACAAGTTACAGTGTCAACATAGCATGTAGCTTCCATTTGCAACACAGCAGATATTACAAGAATTCTAACAAAATTTAAGATGGCTCCTCAAACTAAATGTTTTAAATACATGTTTACTGTGAAATAATCAGTACACTCTGGATCTAACCTCATTTTTTAAAAAATGGTTGCATACTGGCCGGGCACGGTGGCTCATGCCTGTAATCCCAGAACTTTAAGAGGCCAAGGCGGGTGGATTACCTGAGGTCAGGAGTTCAAGACCAGCCTGGCCAACATGGTGAAACCCCGTCTCTACTAAAAATACAAAAATTAGCCAGGCATGATGGCACACATCTGTGATCCCAGCTACTCGGGAGGCTGAGGCAGGAGAATTGCTTGAGCCTGGGAGGCAGAGGTTGCAGTGAACCGAGATCATGTCACTGCATTCCAGCCTGGCCGACAGAATGAGACTGTCTCAAAAAAAAAAAAAAAAAAGTTGCATTCTGTATTATTTTCTGGGTATGAACATTGAACTATTTCCTATTGATAAGGACTTAGACTAACTCCAGTTTGTTGATATAATAATGCTATAATAAATGTCCTTATACATAAGTATATATGTAATATAAATATATATGTATATATGTGTGTATATATATCTATACAAATATCTTTAACATACATATATTATATATCCTTACTGTTATATATGTGTGTGTGAAAATGCTACTAAATTAACACCAAAATGTATTTACCAACAGTATGTGAGAATGTCTTTTTCAGTGAGACCATTTCCTTTACAGCAACACAGATGGAGCTGGTGGCCATTATCCTAAGCAAACTAACGCAGGAACAGAAAATCAAATGCCACATATTCTTACTCATTAGTGGAAACTAAACAATAAGAACTCATGAACACAAAGAGGAGAACAAGACACTGGGGCCTACTTGAGGGTGAAGGGTGGCAGGAGGGAGAGCACCAAAAAATTACCTATCTGGTATTTTGCCTATTATCTGGCTGATGAAATAATCTGTAGCCCAAATCTTCATGATACAGTTTACCTATATAACAAACCTGCACATGTACCCTTGAAGCTAAAATTAAAGTTCACTAAAAAGAAAAGAAAATGCTTTTTCCCTCACATTTGCCAATACTGGTTATTTTTCAAATAAATTAACGACTGGAAAAAATGGTAACACATTGTTTGCTGATTTTCATTCTTCTGATTACCAGACAAGGCTGAATATCCTAGTAAAAGTGTAAACTTTGTTCATCATTAATATTAGCCCAAATTAGGATTAGTTCAAAAGCACATAGTTATTTCCCATTAAATGTTACCATACCTATGATATTCTTCATTCTCTGTGCTAGGAAATTGCTGATTTTCAGGTTTTCTGCTCTTTCTTTGTGGAATTAATCCATCATCACCATTGCCAGCAGCAGCACCATCAGTCAGGTTTACTGATATTCCCACGTTATTACTTCCATGCCTCTGCATTTCTTCTTCAGCCTTGAGTGGAAGTTTGATATTAAGGATGGTTATTGCTTTATTGAATAAAAAGAACCTTTTTATTTTAATTGATTTTATCACTTGACTCAGTTTGCTACTTTAGTCATTAAAAATATTTGACATTTAAATTTAATCATATATACAGAACTGTTACCATATAATTTTAATATGTAATTATATCATTGTATATCATTGAAATTTTTGTAAAGTTTGCTTCATTTCTGTTTGAATGAATTAAACAGTTTTCAAAAATTTCAAAAAGGGCCCTCCTTCATTTTGTGCTTTTATTCCCAACCACTCTTCAGAATCTAATATAAATATTCACCCCATCTGACTTGTGGGAACACACAAATAAAAAGACAAAGATGCAAAATGTATCTTCTTCCATCTTTATCACCTGGATTTTCCATTAAGTAGTCAGATTTAGAGGATGAGACACTGTGGGGCTTCAGGAATAGAAAGGAAGATTGCCCTTTTCCGCACTAAGATATTCTTCTCCCCCACTGCCTTTGATCATTCTTTTTTCATTTGATTCCTGGGATATCAAAAATATAAAGGTGCTCACTGAAACATGGGAACCAAAGTTTGTCACAGCACAAGGAGGAGAGTGAAACTGCTGAGGTGCTAGTGTGGAATTCCAGAAAGTGAGATGTTCCCCAAATTTCACATTCAATAGCCATAAAATTTTCTAGCTGGAGGATATACAAAATAAGAAATTATCTTCTTCAGCCACATTATCTATTGATAATCAGACTAAAACCAAGAAAGATAAAATGATTGATCCAAAGCTCCTAAAGTGGCATTACCTAGCATTTTATGGAACCATTCAGGATTATTCCATAATGATGATGAATATCTCTAGGGTTTGTCTCTAAAACTCAATGTACAAAACTTAGCGTTCTGAGTTAAATGCTAAATTTTTCGCTGATGATTTATGCTACTTACATGATATAACTGTACATGCCTAAACTTACTACAGTTTGTTAAACAACATAATGTAAAAATCTAATTCAACAGTAACATTTGAATATAAAGGTATACCTCTCTATTGCAATCCTTATTTACGTCTGGTTCTTGAGACATTTTCTGCAGATGCAAAAATAGAAGGTTAATTTGCTTGTTGTATTTCTCAGATGTCTGAACTTTTGGACTGCATGCTTTTAAAATAATGTTACTCTTAAGTAATCAAGTACGGACAATGAAAAATTAGAAAATAATTAAAATTAAAATTTACCTGTTAAAATAAATAATAATTAAAATTAAGAATTAACTTTTTAATCTATGTTAAGCTACTGCCACATCATTGGCTTCTGACTAACACGTGAAAAATAATTCACCTTAGCCAAAGGGAGAAGAAAAACAAGAACCAGCCAACTTAACTGTGTCACAATTTGTTTGGATTAAACTTAATTCATTACGTGTTAAATCTACCAAAAATGAATTAGCAGATGATTTGTAGTGTTGCAAAGGCTTCCTCACTTGAAAAGATTTTACTTCACCATACCCTAACTACTGAGCCCCTACAGTGCATTTAAGTGCTTTTTTAAAAGATTACTAACTGGAGTGTAGGCACACTTAAAATTATTAGGAGCTGAAATCAACATCAAACAGAAAGAAATGCAAATTCTTAAATTTTAACTGAAATTATATACTGTAATATGATAGTGTTATGTATCTAGACTATCTGCTTAAGTCCAGTTCTAATATATTCTAATGTGTACTAACAATGGGTAAAAATTTTTAAATAATATTCACTGATTTTCTGCAACTGAAATAAGTAAAATGTTATTGTGTTTGTACACTAACATCAAAAGCAAAATATGATTCTTGTAATAGGCAGTTGGGTTGCTTTCATGATCTGGTTCTCTCCCTGAACAGAAACCCCGAGGTCAATGACAGACCACAAGGCAGAATGCATCTTTAACCTTGGCATCAGTGATTGGCAATATGAAACTGCAGATTTTCAATCACTGGCCATGATTACTTCTTTACTATGAATCCAGCTCAGGGACCAACACTGTTACACTGTTCATAACTTCAATTGCTTAATAATATTATCCAATAATTGATGTTACTCTGTGGTCCAGGCTGGGATGCAGTGGCACCATCTCGGCTCACTGCAAGCTCTGCCTCCCGGGTTCACGTCATTCTCCTGCCTCAGCCTCCTGAGCAGCTGGGACTACAGGCGCCCGCCACCACACCCGGCTAATTTTTTGTATTTTTAGTAGAGACGGGTTTCACCATGTTAGCCATGGTATCGAT